GTTCTGCAACCATTTCTCGTTAAATCAGTTGTTATCAGTTCATGTGGAACCAAACGGGCTATTCACCTGATACATACTACTTCCGCGACGGTTGCTACATGTAACATGCAATATTCGTTAGATTTAGAACAATTTTGATTACAGAAAATGGATATCGAAGGATGTGCTCTAGTGACGGTTATAACTTATTTCTTCTGTACTCTTTGAAGATCAGGTGCTTTTCCCTTGTCTACTCTCAAAGAGTTCAGCCGTATTTTATCGCGCTCCGCTATATTGTATTTTAATCGGTTTTCAATTCGTTAGAAAGGTCTCTTGCAAACGAGAATTCATTATCAATTGCATCTTTGGCTAGTCGACTCAACTACTTGAACACGAAGGATCAATCCAAATGGCATGGGAATTTTCAAGATTTGATTTTTCTGAATGTGATCTAGGGGGAGGATGCAGGGGGTGCGCACCCCACCCTGTGATGAAGCCTTCTTCTTCATATTCGCTTTTGAAATGTGTTTACCCCACCAGTCCGTTACGCCATTCCTTAGTGGTACACCTTCTCCTGAGAAAAATCCTGGTTCCTTCCCTGTGGATGAAACCCTGGTGTATGACCATTTAAGAGAAAGCTATTGAGCAGTACGTTCATGTAGCGCAGCCGTTTGTTATGCTGTTGTGCGTTAAGCCTGGTTTCACTAAGACATAAGCGCAAGCAAAATCAGAAGTACAACGGTAGCTTGTGAGGACACCCCAGCACAAGCACAAGCATAAGCAAAAGCACAAGCAGGAAAACGTTTTTGGTATTCTTTTGCTATTCTCGTGCTTGTACTTATGCTTATGTCAAGCGAGAACGCGCTATTGTAAGCATAAACATAAGATAAGCATAAGCGAAAGTCCACCATCTTTTTTACTGTATAAAGGGGGTTGTGCGCATTCCAACTCAAATAAAAGCTATTGGGCAGTACTTGTATTTGGTGCTGTTTACATTATCCTGAACAAGTTGGTTCTAAATGTCACGTACGTGTAACCCTATAGCGTGTGCCGCTATTGCAAGCTTATGTTTTTCCACAATATAATCTTGAGGGTGAAGGAGTTGCTTTTACTAGAAATAAGAACAAAACAATCCAGATATAAGCAAACAACAGGGGCGGATTCAAGCGGGAAGAGGAAAGGGGGAGGATTGGGTGGCTTATTTCCCCCGCCCCCTTCATTTAGAGAAGCAAAACTAAAAAAAAAAAAAAAAAAAATATATATATATATATGTATATATATTGAAAAAGATTGTGACTATCATGGCAGAAATAAATGAAATCTCTCTGGGCAAGTCCCTCATTGTAATTTCTACTCTGTCGCATCGCTAGTACTTCTGGTGTGACAGTTTTCATTCTCATGTTTCCCTGGAAAAACCATGTATCCGCCCCTGACCAAGAATTCCACAACAAAGCAATACAAACTTTAAAACGGATTTTAATGCTTAAAGAGGCAGCCTAAGGGAAATACTGACATTTTGGTTAATACAGTTTACTTCCGAAAATTGACAACTGATTTATCTTGTTATAATTAAACTTATAAATTTCTCGTTTTGAACATAAAATCATTCTTGTTTTCATATTTAATAGATCAAATTTTTATTATAAGCATATAAAGAAAAAGACCACGTCACAAATCACAGACTTCTTACATGACATGCTTAACAAGTGGTCAGAAACTGCTGACCCAAAACTACAGCTTACACCTTTTCACACTCTTAGCACCTACACATAACTTGTTCGGTGACGTGGCTAGAAAAGTTAAATAATATATCATATATTGTGCTAAACCTTGTTTACTTAGGCAATATATTGATCTCTGATTCAATTTCAATTTATCAAATAGCGAGCAACGATTTCATCTAAATATTGTTAAGTGAAATATTTTTCCGGTCATTCACGGCAGTCATGCAGGTATCTCTACAAAACTTAAATACCCTAAAGAGCTATTCAATAGCTTCTAAATATACGTATCTACACACTACAATTACTGCTTCTTACCACAAAATTAGCAAACAGGGACTATAATGGGCAGTTTGGCAACTGCATGAATCTGAAGTGAAGCAATTCAGCCAAAACTGTTACAAAATTCACCTCCTTTAAATACTAAATACTAAGTCTAAATATTCGATAATCTCGTCACACACTAACATTTCTTTTGTAAAAATAACTACTATTCTATAGCCTTGTTCATTACGTTAGGGTATTCTAAGCTTACGCCAATGTATTTCTTCCGCTACTCTAATCAAGCATGTCTTAACTCCTTGCTAGGGATGCGGAAAAAAGTTGCACTTAACCTAAATGCAGTTATTTAAAGAGGCTAGCTCACCCAACTTTAGTCTTTTTGTAAAAAAAAAAAAAAAAAGAAAAAAAAAAAGAAAAAGATCAAAAAAAAGAAAAAACTCAAAAGGCCAAAAAGGGGCACGGTGGGCAAAATTCGAGGAGTTCAAAACAAACTACAGTTAGGGTAAGCTTGAAAAGTTCCGGCCTGACTTTAATCAAGTTTAAGTCAATTTGTATAAAAGTGTTTTTTTTTTTATAATGCTCGGAAATTGTTCTTAGATGGGTGGCCGGGATTGGGCTTCTCAAAGATTGCTGCTTAGCTAGTTGAAGATTAGAATAATTGTTAACAAAAATGAACAGAATTACCTAAAATACTGTGACCAAGCCTCGTCAACTTGTCCCACGAGCGCCTTAACAACATCGACTATATAAAAAAAGGCCAATAAGAAGGAAGAACAATTCAAATCAAAAAAAATGTAAGTCACGCAACTTTGAAATAACTCCAAACCTAGCTTTATCGTTGTTGTACTAATCTGCACGTTTATTGTCACTGTTTGTTGGTTGTAGTTGCTGCTGTTGTTGAATTGTTCTTCAGTAATGCTTTCTTCACTGTCTGCAACGAACTGAATTAGAATCGTTTTGTCATAGTGTTAGAACCCAAATGTAAGACACAAAAACAGTTCGTTGAGTAGACATCCTTAACGCAAAATAGACATGGAAATCAGTTGAAATCCAACTGAAGAAAATGGCTTTGAACTGACCGTTGCATTTGATACTAACTCCTACTGTTCTTTCACGCTAAGCTTCAGAGTTTTACTTTTACATTATTGTAATTATTATCCTTATTTTTTTTTGTGAATACTTTTCTTGTTTGCTTTCGTTCTTTTTTTGTTTTGTCTTTTTATTATAAAAGGTAGCTTCAAACAAATTCCTTAACATAAAAAGCCTATTTGCAATAAATTCGCAACAAGCGTTATTTACAATTAATTCTGCAACACACGCTTCTCGTGGTCAACCAAACTATACCATCGAAAAAGTAAATATGTCGACCAGGATTCCCATTACAAGCATCTCAAGCTGCTGTTCAACAATAGGCGTCCAAAACCAATTAAGCTTTTGGCAATATATCCTTACATAAAATAATACAAAACTGTCAAAACTTTCTCATTGAATTGCACAAAAAGGCTTTCTCACCTATCTACAAAATTTGTTATGTTATACTAATTTCATCTTGTTAAATATGTGTTACTCTATTTTTTTTTAACTTCTCTTATACTTCCAAAGATAATTCAACAAATAGTTTGAGTTTTCATCCGTACGATAAATAAGATACCACTATGCTTAAACAAAAAAATAAATCTCTTCGTGGAATGACGATATATGAATATGAAATTCTTCTCACCAAATATTGCACGTAAATATCATTTTCGTTTAAATTATCAGCAATTTCTTACAAATTCATTAGAAGGTAGACTAAATAGTATCACATCGTTTTGACAACCATGCATATTTCGTTTATTTACAAGCAGCGCTGAAATTGTTCCACGTTTTCTGGGGTAATGAGTCAATCGTTACCCAATGAAAAACGTTTCAACAGATACAACGCTGGCGGAAACCTCTACAATTGGAATAAGTCGCTTTCAAATGGTGGAAACACTCGCCTCAGTTCAAACTTTGTTGAAATAAAGAACATAGAGGAAGATCAGTCATTTTGGCCTTAAAATTTCTCGCGCTCTGGCATTTTGAGTCATGTCACCTCTTTAACCAGAATATACGAAAAACGTTCAGCCATATCGCTGACACCACAGAATCCAAATGGTGGCGAGCTCCCAACTTTTTCGCTTGCGCTATTCAGTGTTTTCCGACAAACTTTCTGTCCCATTATTTTTCCACCAATTTAGAAAATACGAAAAAATTGATCTAAAAGGTCAGGATTCCTTTAAAATCCGATCAAGGATAGACTAACTAAAAGGATAATCTCTATTTTGTAACTTTGATTTTTCCCTTATTTAAATTTGAATAAAAGACATCCTTTTCTGATATCGCAAAGGAAAAACTTGGCTCATGAACACGTGTACTACAGTCTACAGTGGCACACTGTCTTAAACTAAACACATCTGTTGGCAAAAACAAAAAAACAAACCAAATTTCACACAAATTAACACGAAAACAAACAATTTTAGAATAGAGCAAAATTACACTTATACTCTTTCCTTTGACTAACTGGACAATAAACCGCCGTTTATATATCCCAGAGTACAATATTCTCATAAAAGTACGTTGGTTTTAGTATCGTATCTGATTATCCTATAACATGGACAATCACACCTTTGTAGTTCCCTTCTGGAAGCATGTCCGCATTCACACCTTCAGTAATAATGCAAACCCGCCAAAGCTTGACATGTTGTCCCTACACGCCTGCTTAGGCAATTTCCAAGCAGTCTTTTACCTCTGTTTCAAAACGAGTTCTCGTGCAAAACGTTTCTCAATTTGCACGAAAATGAAAATTCAGGTGAAACACATTTTAATCTGAATAGTTAACAAAGAAGACTAGTTTTGACACAGAGGAAAAAGACAACACAGAAGTGGTCCACCAGTGTGAAATCATGCTTTCTCGAAAATCGAAAGTCTTCTTCACACTCTTTCGCAGTCATTCTATCTAAAGGTTTGTTATATCTACATGTACACAGTGCTACGACCACAAATGCCGTTAAATTTTGATAATAGGCTCCCTCCACAAAAGTAGAACTCTTCTTTATAAAAGTAAGCCCGAAATCTCTGAGGTAAATAGTAGTTATCAACAAACCCCCTCAACCCAACCCACCCCCATACGGAATATCAGCCATTATCTTTAAATTTCACGGCATCTGAAAACGATTATTGCCTCACTGAAACCATCTTAACGCATGCCAGTCCCACCAGACATAAACGTCATCGTGTCCCCCTGACCACTCGTAGCCAAGGTCGACTGCGCGTGGCTGCTGCCTGGAACTGAAGTAGCCGCTTTTGGCCAGGGCTCTGCGGTTGGCCTCAGCCCAGACGACATGGCGACCTGGGTAGTGTCAGGATACTGCGCCTGCTCTGCAGGGGATTGCCAAGACCGCTGAAAGCCTCCCATAGGCTGTTGAGTCGGCCAATAGTCAGTAGTTGGTGAACGGACGCCGCTGCCAGTCGGAGATGAGTAGCGCCGCTGGCCTCTCATTGCAAAACCTTGAGGCTTTGGGGACCATGGCTCGAAAGGTGAAGACGGGGGTCTGGAGATAAAAACTCAGTGTCATTTCTGGTTAATCTGGGTTGCCGGTATGATTGAAGGACGACGACAAAGAAAGGAAGAATGGTAAGTAAATGTATTGGTAAACAGTATCTATGCCACTCTTCAGCCCTTGCTGGAAACAAAACAGCCTTCTCTTGCTAACTGCTAGGTCTATATCACATCATTCGTTTCCATATTTCAAACTCAGTATTGTAAGATACAAGCAGGACCGTAGCTAGTGGCAGGCAAACCGGGACGCTTGCCTCATTTTCTATCTGTTTTTTTTTTTTTTTTCTCTTTGTGAAGGGGAAAAGTAAAGCACTGTTAGTAAATAAATAATTAATAAACGAACAAACAAATAATATTGCTTCAGTGATAACTTTTTTCTGGCTACGGCCCTGTACCTGTTATCCTCACTGGTATATATTACTGTATTTTGAACATCGTCCAATAATAAAGACTTCTTCAAGAATACGGTTAATAATCAAACACAAACGAAGATGAACCAAATGCAATTACCCGTAACTTTGTTGCATCCCACGTGACTCCTCTACAGCTTTATCGGGTAACGCCGAGGGTCGAGGGCCTTGTCGTCGGCCACCTATCCCACCCATACCAAAGGGTGCTCTACCGTCCGTCTGACCTTCCACCGGAACCTCTTCTGAAGAACTGGAACCCGAACGCACAGACGACAGACTGCTGGCCGAGGAGGGCCTACCAGGAGACTGGTTCGAACCGTAAAAGTTGTCCCAGGCTTGACCTTGGTTTGGAGCTCTTTGTTTCCAGTCCTCCGCGGACATCTGACGCCCATAGCGACCATAACTTCCCTGAAATGACAAACGTCATCTACCAAATCGCATACTTCGTTTCTGTAAGCCAGTCAAGTTTCAGTCCAGCCAAATTGACCGTTTCTACTACGCTTCGAATTGCGCTTCCACACGTTATCCAATGATCGGTTAAAATCGTTATTTTAGCCTGCGTAGAAGGCGTTTCCCAATTTTTTTTTTTCTGTTTTTTTTTTGCTCACCCCAGGCTCGCCCGCTTGCTCGCTCGCTTGTTAGATCTCTCCGCTGGAAAAGAAAAGAAAACGTCGGCTACGCAGGCTATCGTTATCTTTACGTTTAATGTCGATTATAAGACCTGTATAAATGTGACAAACCAACTAAAAACTGACTTTGCTTAGCATGCCTAACCGCAAGTAAACCGGAGTGAAAGCTAACCGCAAGTAAGTCCAAGATGTTTTTGAGAGAGGGGCGTGAACAGGAAGTCGAATGTTCTCTTCATTTAGGAGTATCATCCGAATAACCGTATTTTCGTTGAAAAGGTCAAGTTATGAAAGCTAAAATGAGAACTATCCGACTCATTTAGTCGGGGCGGGGGGTGGGAGTGGGTCAAAACGCGCTGAAGGAAAGAACATGGACTTCCAGTTGGCGTCAGTGGTTCCAAAATGTCCTTTTTCATGTGATCTGACACGATGAGACATAGCTAACCTGTTGGTACTGCCACGGTTTGCCACTTCCGTCACCATGTTTTCCCGAACCAGGCTTTTTCCCGTCAGGAAGAGGCGAACCAGGAAATTTTGGCTGGGCGTTCCCCTGCAGAAGCATCTCATTGATGTACTGAGTGGCAGTGCTACCATACAGTCTGCTGAGATTGTGTCCCTGGGCGGGTGCCGACGGCATGTCTAACATCGGGGAGCTGGGCTGAGTGCCTCCCTCTTGCTTGAACTTCTGCTGCAGAAAGAAGATGTGTTCGCGATACTTGTAGACCTGGAAAGAAAAAAGTACATTTATTGGGATTTTGGCGTAGTAAAGAGGAATCACGCAACAGATTCAAACCAATGCTTCTTTTAAATTCATTTAATATTTTACAGTTCGTGCGATGTATTAAGATTTTTTTTACCGACTTATGTCATGCTGATGTAGATACAGGGTGGGTATATTATATACGTAAAGGGGGCTTGGCCAAGTGGATTGAGGCGCTGGAGTTGACATCTGGAGCTCCCTGGTCAACTTCTCCACCCTACCGCTATCTGGATTTCTTACTCGGATTCAGCTCCTCGGCCGCGTTTTGTAAATAAAACCCCTGTAGAATTCCACAAGTTGGCATTCTTAATAGTTTATCTTCCATTTGAAGCATTTGTTTATTTATTAACAGTGTTCCCGATTAGCACAACAGTGCTAAATACATTTGAAACTGAAATAAAGTTATTTCATATCTATTTTCTTTTTATTTTATGTAAATCACTGGTATAGCTAACCAAAGGCCGGAACTACATAGTCACGCTTGACGTCTTATTAATGATTCAAATTTCAAATACACCACGCCGGACAATCTGATGTGAATTATCCTTTGACAGAAGCGCTACCCATTTCTGACCGACGGGTCAGACACGTACAAGACTCCCTTTTGGCCATTCCGTTTAACACCATTATTAGCTATACTTCCTACCTGCTCTTGAAGAGAAGAGATACGAGACTGAGCGTTCTCCAGGTCTCGCTTCAGTTTGTCTTTTAATGATAGCACACGTTCCTTCTCTTTCCGTTCGTTCAGAAATTCTTCACGGTATGATTCATTCTGTCCAAAACAAAAAAAAAGGCAGGGTGTCTTTAAGCATTCATTTAAAGCAGGCTAAGAGAGACGCCTTTTAATACGATTGAGTTAAGTAATGTGCGCATGGACACAGAAGGATGACGTTGAAGTGAATTATCTCAAATTCACTCCATGTTTCACAAGAGCCTGATCAGTAGGGATCCATAACTCAGTAAAAACTACGTGTACCATTCGTCGGTCTTGTTATAAAGGAACAAATTGTAAGGATAGACAAGATTTTTGTTGTTGTTATTGTTGTCGTTGTTGTAGTTGCTGTTGTCAGTAGTCACATTTTGCGTTGTCTTAGTATGAAAGCTAAGGCGTGGTGGCCTTACCCGGTCTAAGACCTTTTATCTCGTGTTTCTTCAATCTAACAGGGCCTCTATAGTTAATTGTGTAAATAAATGAGGAAGGGCCAATTTGTTGATGGCCAGAAGGGCCATCCTGAATGAAAACGCTAAGGGTGGCCTGTTGCAGACGTTTAGTCAATTTATGCTAGCTTGGTCTCCTTTGAAATATGTAACCTGTGTCAATCTTTACCTGTCTCTGCAGTGCAATTAGCTGCTCGATGCTTGGCAAGCCATTCTCGTGAATAAGTTTCTTCAATCTCTTGAAGTCGTCAATCTGGTCTTCTTGATCACAATGGTATCGGACATATTCTTCACTTTTAACCTGTTTAGTATTAAACAAAGTAGTGACAGATTTTCGGCCATTAGTAAAAAACAAGAAGGGTCTAAGCTAAAGCGTCTGTAATTTCGCTTACGAACGACAGACATTTTTTAAGTATCTATAAAAAATTCCCCTGTAAGTTAATTGAAGTTCAGTCATTCTGACTTCGGAACCCATTGTAGTTTGCGCGGTCACCTGGAACGAATCACCGGGGGAGAGCCGGGGAGGGGGCTTCCTACATACGGTACTGACAAGCCGGAATGCTAGTCGTATTAAATGGCCATGGCCCAAGGTATTCTATTTTCAAATTTTTATACTTGCCACACATAACGGAAGTCTTAAAGTAAGCCTTTAAATTAAGCTTAAATTAAGCTGGAAATTATTATGGGAATCAAGTATTTACTTGTAAAGATTTCATGTTCTTGGACAGGTTTTCGACCTGGTGTCTCAAAGATTTTTGTTCAGCCATGGAAGCGAACTTTTCTTGTGTCTCTCGCTCCAGCATTTCCTGCATCTCCTGAGCGCGGTACAGCACTTGGTCAAACTCTTGTTTTTGTTTTTGTTCGTTTGTCTGGTACTGTGCAAGGGTGTCTTGAAGCTGCCTTTTTTCCTGCTGTAATTTATTGATTTGGACTCGAAGAGCGTTCTCTTCTTTGTCGTGACTGTCCTGCAAATCCCTCAAGCGCTTTTCTAGCTGTGGGAAAATTTAGCAAACAAATAAATCAGTTACAAAGCTCAAACCCACGTCTTCAAACCCTCTAAGTACACCGTTTCCAAGAGCATCAACAGTCTGCAGGACCCGGATGTGCAGATGTCCGAAAAAGGTGGAAACATTTGCCCGCGCACTTTCCGGCGAGTGTTTGTCGGTTGTTTTTTTCAGTACTCTTGTAGCCTGTCGCACTTTCTTTTACTCTCCCCCTGTTTTTTCTCAGTGTCTTTTTATTGGAAAGGCCTCGACATCAGTCTCCCTCGACTGCAATGGAGCAGGGAAACGCCAAGTCGTAGCAAGGCCAGGTATTAGTATAGGTAATCATACGGTTTCGAATTCAATTTGGAATTAATTTGCACGAGTGAGTTTTTCAAAAAGCTGAAATTGCACGAGCCGTTTCGGCGAGTGCAATTTCAGCTTTCTGAAAAACTCACAAGTACAAATTAACTCCAAATTGAACAAGAGAAACCGTATGATTACTTATTAATAATACAAACATGAAAAAATTTGCGTGCAGGAAGTGCCCGAAGATCTTTCTTGAAGCCATTTTCTCTCATTCGAGAA